AAATGTATCTACTTCATTTCTGGACTCTCCTGGTATCCTCTGTCCTCCCTTATGCTGTCTTTCCAAAGCAGGAGATTTAGAAAGATTTATTCTTGAAGAAATTAAATAGGAAAAGTTCTGGATTTAGGATACCACAATACCCTTGTTTTAGCCTTTTGCCTGACTAGCCCCCAGGACCTGGCACTCAAACTCTTAGAGATTTTGTGGGGCTAATGGGTTTTGCCTCTCATTGGACTGAAATACTGCTCTGTACCTTTTTCTCATGTTGTTCCTTCTTCTCTTTGCCTATCTATGTTTTATCCATTTCCTTAATCCCAGTTCTACTTCTATCTATTTGATAACAGCTTTGGTTATTAATCCCAACCGTACTCATCTGTCCTTTCTCTTTGGCATATTTTATCTTAACATTACATTTTGGTTTCTAAGTTGACAGTGAATTATATATTTAGCTCTTTTCCTCCATGTGCTTGCATTGTTTTTGCTGTCTCTCTCACCTTCCTTAGGGTAGTGACTATGTTTTTTTCTTTTTCTTCTCCTCCTCCAGCTGCCTCCATGGTGGCATTCTGGTGGAATGGAAAGAACTAGACTTAGAGTCAGACGACCTGAATCCTTTATGTAGTGCCATTATTTAATCCATGTGATGTTCCCAGTTGATTCTTAATGTGACCCAGCCACAGAACCTCTCTGAGCTCAAGTTTCTTCTTACCTGTAAAATGGAGATAAAAAGGAAAATTGACATAAAACCCCAATATCCAAGAATAGGAATGGTCCATTTTGGTGTTCTCACATTACTGGATGTAAACTGTTGTCCTTTAGAACTCCACTGCCTTAGACATTCATGCTCTTCTACTGGAATCCCAACTTCTCTGCAACTTTCTCTAACCAGCTCTGCAACTTCGTTTCAGTCCCTCAAGATTCAAGTTGGGAGCATGTGATTGCTACACCTAGGTCTTTTGCCTTTGGCTTTTGCAGTGAGTCGTAGGGTTCTGCTTCCCGTCTCTCGGGATTTCTTCAGAAGAGGAAGAGTATTTTTGGTACTAGGGAGCCCAAAGGGCAAGTAGCCACCTCATCCATTTAATGCAGTTTTTCCTTCTTGTTTAACACCATTTTATACATAGTCGTTTTAATCTATAATTCCCTAATGACATGATGTTGAACATCTTTTCATGTGGTTACTTGCCATCATTGTATCTTCTTTGGTAAGGTGTCTGTTAAAGTCTTTTGCCCATTTTAAAATCAGGCTGTGTGTTGTCTTACTGTTGAGTTTTAAGGGTTCTGTGTATATTTTGGATAGCAGCCCTTTATCAGATGTGTCTTTTGCAAATATTTCTTCTAGTATGTGGCTTGTTTCCTCATTCTCTTGACATTGTCTTTCACAGAGCAGAAGTTTTTAATTTTAATGAAGTCCAGCTTATCAGTTATTTCTTTCATGAATTATTCCTCTTGTATCTAAAAGACCATCACATGCCCTAGGTCATCTGTTTTCTCCTATGTTATTTTCTAGGAGTTTTATAGTTTTATGTTTTACATTTAGGTCTATGATCCATTTGGAGTTAATTTTTGTGAAGTCTTTGTCTAGATTCATTTTTTTTACATGTAAATGTCCATTTCTCCTAGCCCCATTTATTGAAAAGACTATCATTGCTACTACCATTGTATTGCCTTTGCTTCTTTGTCAAAGATCAGTTGACTACATTTACATGGATCTATTTCTAGCTCTCTATTCTGTTCCATTGATCTGTTTGTCTGTTCTTTTCCTAATACTATACTGTCTTGATTACTATTAACTTTACAGTAAGTCTTAAAGTTGGTTAGTGTCAGTCCTCCAACTTTGTTCTTTTACTTCAGTATTGAGTTGGCTGTTCTGGGTCTTTATCCTCTCCATATACACTTTAGAATCAGTTTGTCTGTATCCACAAAGTAACTTGCTAGGATGTTGATTAGGATTGCATTGAACTTAAAGATCAAGTTGAGAAGAACTGACATCTTGACAATATTGAGTCTTCCTATCCATGAACATGGAATATCTATTTCATTCTTTGATAGCTTTCATCAGTTTTATAGTTTTCTTCATAGAGATCTTATACATATTTTGTTAGATTTATACCTATTTGTTAGATTTATATAAATGGTAATGTGTTTTTAACTTCAAATTTCACTTGTTCATTGTTTATATATAGGAAAGTGATTGACTTTTGTACAGTAACCTTGTATTTTGCAACCGTGCCATGATTGCTTATTTAGTTCCAGAAGCTTTTTGGTTGATTCTCTTAGATTTTCTACATAAATGATCATATCATCTACTCAACATAGAGGACCATGTCATATGCAAGAATAAAAATTTTTTTAAAGAAAAAAGTATAGAGAATAATATATTACATAATCATGTACTCACCACCTAGATTTAACATGTTAATGTTTTTCATATTAGTTAAGGTTAAAAAAATAGTATATTATGGATAAAGTTGAAGCATCCTTTACAGTCTCAATCCCTTCTCTCCCAAGATATAATCACTCTCAAAGTTGGTATGCAGTTTTTCCTTTCATGATTTTTATTCTAAAACTTGTATATCTATCCATCCATCCATTCACCCATCATACAGAGATATTCATTCCCTTATATTTTCTTCGGAAAATTCTAAAGCTTTGCTTGCCACATTTAGATAATTTAACATTTAATCAATCCCCTAATCTTTTGCTATTATAAACATTGCTTCAACTTATTAGCTGGTATAAACTTCTTTCTGTACCTGTGGAATCTATCTATAGAGTAAATTCCTAAGTGTGGGATTGCTGCTAGGAGTTTTGATCTTTGACCAATAAATATAGTCATGTAAACACGACCATAGTTGAGATACAGACAGTTCCATCACCCCAAAATGTTTCCTTGAGTTTCTTTGTACTGCTGTACTTTCTATTATGGTTTTGCTTTTTCTAGCATGTTATGTAAATGGAGTCATACAGCATGTAGTCTTGTGTCTAGCTTTTTCACTTAGCAAAATTTGCTTCTCAGATTCATTTTTTGTTGTGTGTATCAGTAACTCTTTCATTTGTATTGCTGAGTAGTATACTATTGTATAGATATGCCACAATTTGTTTATCAGGACATTTGAGTTCTTTCTAGGTTTTTGGCTGTTATCAATAATGTTCTTATGAACATTCATGTACAAGTATTTGTGTGGACATAAATTTTCATTCCTCTGGGGTAAATACTTAGAAGACTAATTGCTGGAATATATGATAAATATGTTTAACTTTGTAAGAAACTTCTAAGCTGTTTCCCAAAATGATTGTTTCATTTTGTGTTCTCATCAGCAATATATGAGAGTTCTAGTTGGTCCACATCCTCATTAATGCTTGGTTCTGTCAGATTTGTAAATTTTAGATCATCTAGTGGGTATATAGTGCTATCTCATTATGTTTTTAATTAACATTTCCTTGATGAATAATGATATTGAGCTTCTTTTCATGTGCTTATTTGTCACCTGTGTATCTTTTTTTGGTGAAGTGTCTGTTCAAATCTTCTGTCCAATTTTAAAAATATGGGTTCTTTGCTTTCTTAATATTGAGTTTTGAGTTTTTTTATAGTCCTTTATCAGTCTTATCAGATACATTTTGCAAATATTTCCTCTTGGTCTGTAACTTTTTAACAGAGTCTTTTGAGGAATACATGTTTTAACTTCTGAAGAAGTCTAGTTTATCGATTTTTTTCTTTTAAACTTCATGCTTTTTGTATCCAGTTTAAGAAATCTTTGCCTAATCGCCCAAGGCCAGTAAGATTTTCTCCTATGTTTTCTTCTAGATGTTTTATAGTTTTAGCTCTTACATTTAGTTCTATTAAACTAAATGTAATTTAGTTTAATAGGGATTGCATTAAATCTGTAGATTGTTTTGTGTAGTATGGCCATTTTAACAATATTAATTCTTCCAATCCAAAAGCATGGGATATCTTTCCATTTCTTTAAATCTTCTTCAATTTCCTTTATCAATGTTTTATAGTTCTTGGTGTATAAGTCTTTCACCTCCTTGGTGAGGTTTATTCTTAAGTATTTTTTGATGTGATTTTAAAAGGGATTGTTTTTTTACTTTCCCTTTCTGATATTTCATTGTTAGTGTAAAGAAATGCAACCAATTTCTGTATGTTAATCTTGTATCCTGCTACCTTGCTGAATTCATTTATCAGTTCTAATAGTTTTTGCGTGGAGTCTTTAGAGTTTTCAGTATATATTTAGTATCATGTCATCTGCATATAATGACAATTTTACCTCTTCTCTTCCAGTTTGGATACCTTTAATTTGGACAGGAACTCTTCTTGATATCTGCTTATTCCCAGAAAGAAGTTACTTCTCACTCTTGTTTAAAACCTGTTGTCCTGGGCTTCCCTGGTGGCGCAGTGGTTGAGAGTCTGCCTGCCGATGCAGGGGACACGGGTTCGTGCCTTGGTCCGGGCGGATCCCACATGCCTCGGAGCGGCTGGATCCATGGGCCATGGCCGCTGGACCCGCGAGTCCGGAGCCTGTGCTCCGCAACGGGAGGGGCCGCGGCGGTGAGAGGCCCGCGTACCGCAAAAAAAACAAAAACAAAAACAAAAACAAACTGTTGTCCAGATCTGGCCTGTTAAGGTCTTCTTTTGGCATGAGTGGAATGAGGAAGTTCCTGTGATGGGTTTTAAATAAGGAACATAAATAATTTAAACCTTAGAAAGTTATCTGACATGAAATTGGGTGCCGTAGGAGTAATTTAGTTCCCTCTACCTCTTTGTCAGGAAGCTGTAAGAGATTTCTGCATGGAGTATGAGATTAGATTGGATGACTTTTAAGGGCCCTTCTAACTCTCTGCATTCAAGCTTTGATCAGAAGTCCCAGCTTCTTTTCTCTAATGACTTAGACTTAAAAATCTAGTCCTAACTCTAGTGGCACATAGTAGTTACTCAATAAATGCTGGTTAAATAAATTAACTTGCAAGAATTCTTCACGGTGTCCTTTTTTTCTCTCTTGCAGTTAAAAGAGCCAAGTTCCAGGGTTCACCAGGTAAGGCCAGCCTTTAATTATTATGTTCTTCTCCCCATACTTGCTGTGATTTAAAAACATTCTTTCAAAAAATCATTAATTTCATTTGATTCATTGATTAAATTAGTTAAATTCACTAAGTTCATTAAATTAATTAAAAATCAATATGGGAAGAGATTGGTCAAGGGGGTACAAAGTTTAAGTTATGCAAAATGAATTATTTCTGGAGAGCTAATGTACAGCAATGTGTCTATGGTTAACAAGTATTGTATACTTGAAATTTGCTAAGAGGGTAGGTCTTAAGCGTTCTCAACACACACACACACGCACGCGCGCGCGCGCACACACACACACACACACACACACACAGAAAATGCTAATTATGAGGTGGTGAGGAATGTGAATTAGCTTGATTGTGGTGATTATTTCACACTGTATACATATATAAAATCAAGTTGTACACCTTAAATATATACAATTTTTAATTGCCAGTTACACTTCAAAAAGTGGAAAAAAAACAGTGCTGTCGTAAAACATTAAAGAAATCTATATCAATCTGGTGAAAAGTTAGTCTCCTTACCTCTTGGCCAACTCAGTTCTGCTTCTCAAAAGTAACTATTTTGAGGCTTTTATATACCTTTTCAGAGTTTTACTGTGTATGTGCATGTATACACTAATGGATCAGCTACACATGTCTTTGTGCAACCTGCTTTTTTTCCAACAACATACCATGAAAGTCTTTTCTTGTGTATACATATATCTGGTTCTTTCTTTCAAAGAGTTGTACACACACTACTATATTTAAAACAGATAACCAACAAGAACCTACTGTAAAAAAAAAAGTGTCCAGGATTTTGTTGTACCCTAGGTCCCTTATTGAATATTCAGGTCATTTCAATTTTTTTGCTATTATAAGCAATAAATGTTCTTGTGCATTTAACATTGCCTGCTTTTGAAAATGTATCTGTATGCTAGAGTCTAGAAGTAGAGAATTGTTGGGCCAAAGGTACGTATTTTAAACAAATTTGGTAGCTGCTGCCAAATTGCATTTCTGAAAAATTTTGCTTATACTCAGACCAAAAGCGTATGGGTGTCTGTTTTCCCAAATTCTTATCAACGTTAGATAATATGAAACTTTTTAATCTTTGCTCATCTGAAGGTGAAAATGGTATCTCCTTACTTTAATATACATTTTCTTAACTGAATGTCAAGTTAGTTATAAAGACTTACTCTAGTTCCTTCTGTGGGCAAAAGGAGGGTACTGTGGATTATGGGGAAAAAACCATGATTGGGAACCCAAGAAAATCTGAAAAACCAAATCTGGGTGCAACAGGAACTAAAGCAGTTTCTGGGCCTACTGCTCTCTCCAGTGGCTCTGGGTTAGGGCTTCTCTTCTTTCTGAAAAGCTTTTCTGCTCTCCTTTCTCATCCAGCAGGCTTTTTATGCTTACCTGTCTTGCACACACCCCATAGTGGCTGCTCCAATAGAATTTATATGCCTCTCCTTCAAGCTTCAGCACCAATCAATTGTTACTATTTCTTTGTTTTCCCTACTGAAAATCTTTTGAGAGGGAATCATATTGGTCTCAGCTTTTGGTCAGCTTATGAATTGGCTGGCTGCTTTTGGGTGGCATCTCCTTTTGGTCTGGTCAGCTATGGTTGGACATGGGGAATGGAGTACAGAATCCTGATAGAAAACAGCTTAGGGGTATACTGCATTGCTACTACCAAATATGGATGGGAATTCCCTCATGTGGGTGGGCTTGTATCCTCATATATCTTTGGTATAATTGTAGAATAATCGTAGGTATAAGACTACATAGTTTTTTATGATACTTAAGAGAAAGATTTACCTTCTGCTAGAAGTGCATGACAGTGCCCATCTTCTCACACCTTTAACATAGGTAATTGTTTTAAGCAATCTTTGGCAATTTGATGAGTCAAAAATGATAGTCTTTTTTTTTCATTTTATAAAATTATGATTAACTTCTTACATAGAGAAGTGAACTCTCAATTCAGTGTCCCTCATCATGGCTGATACAAAGGAAGTAACAAAATGTGCTGTGTTAAGTCTTAGGTCAGATTTCTGAGTTTTGAGATCCAGACCGCCTACCTTTGTTTGGTACTCAATTTATACTCTCGGGTTAGAGAATTTCCTTTTTCTGACTCTGTGATAATATATATATTTTTAATGTAAGTTGTGCTTTAGGCCAGGGTGAATAGATAAAGCTTGAAATCCATTTCCTTTATGAGGAGTTTTCCTCAATTCTTGTCCCTGTAAACAAATAGAGGTAACTCTTTCTTCTTCTGCCTTCCTTTAGCACTTTTTCGCTTTCTCTGTGGTACTTATTTCTTTATACATTTTATTAATTTGCATATCTTATCTTTCCTGTAAGATCAATTAGATTATTATTTTTTCAAACTGCAGGTGGGCTATAAAGTCAATTTAGTTAATTATGATTAATATTTTAAAAATTAGAATAAAAATATCAATGTATCACATCTTGTATTTCATAAAGCTTTTGTTTTTGTTTATATGTATATATATGTGTATCTACTGGTCAAATATAAAATATAGTCCTTAAATTTGAAAAACACTATTGTAGATTATGCTTTTGAAAATAGTGTGTGTTTTCTAATTTTTCTGTACCTCTCTGCTTAGAATGATGCTATATTGTACAATATATAATTCCATTTTTTCTTATATATACTGTAATATGGACATTACTTAATTCCAAGGGCTTTGTGAGACTGGATAACCATCTGAGCACTAAGTATTATATCTTTGGTTTGCATTTTTTCAAAGACAAATTTAACACATATGTGACCCTGAAAGTGCAAAATGTGAAGAGCACAACTGTAGCAGTCCGTGGCGATCAACCTTCCTGGGAACAAGATTTTATGTTGTAAGTACATTGCAGCAGCAGCAGCATGCCTACAACATTTGACAATCTTTCCAAGGTAATCACATTGGATTAAACAAGTAGAGGCTGAAGATTTTGTGTATATCTAAGACTTATAAAATACGTTAAATATTTAAAAACACATTTTAATAGCATGTTAAATATTCTTTTTGAAAACTAGAGAAAGGAACAAATGAGGTGTGTGGTAGGTAAAGTACATCTACAGTTTTGTTGTCTCCCGATTTGTAATCTATTTTCAGAGGCGAATTATGAATTCGAGTAAACGCTCAGTTTACATGGGTGAAAACACTACCTAGTCAGATTTTCCTAGTGGTCAGAATTAGGTACAGTATAACATACTGAGCATGATATTAAACCTAACTTAATCTTTCTTTGATTCTCAGAAGGCTTCTTGAAGGAATGTGGTTATGCATGTGAGGACTGTGTTTGTGTTTCCAAGTCACCTGCTTTCGAAGATGAGGATGTCTGTGCTTATAATCCTTTTGCTTTACGGAGTAAAATTCTACCTTCATCTAATTAATAAAAATGAGTAAATATTAGTAGAATTGCTTGCATATGACACAAAGTTTAGTATATTATGATTGTAAGCTCTGGCTTTAAAAACTTGCTATTTCCTTTTTTCCTCTTAAATTTCAGCAATTTTTTTTCTGCTCTAGGAAAGGGAACAAAAATGTACAATATCATTTTGAAGGGCTGACCAAATCACTTAGCTTCTCTGAGTGTCAGTTTCCTTATCTGTAAAGGTCTACTCTTGCTTACAAGGTTATGCTTATTTTTTGGGAAGGTGGGCACAAGGGGGTCAACCAAGAAAATGTATTAAAATTGCAGTGAAATTTGTGATTGAAGTGAAATTGCTTTGCGAGTTTTATAGTCCATCTCAGACATAGGATGATTCTTTTTATGGGGAAACATTCCAATCCTCTGGGCTTTTAATATATTGCTTTTTATAGTACCATTTAGGAAACTTTATTATAATAGTTAAAGGTTAAGATTATGAGGGTTTGGGCTAAGACAGTAACAGAAGGATAGATAGAAAAGGATGGATAGAAGATGTTAAGGAGGTAGAACCAAGACTTGTCTTGGATGATTGGGTGAGTGGTGAGCTACTCATTAGGATAGGAGATAATAATATATCAGTTATGAACAAGCTTATATTTGAAGTTCTTATAGGACAGGTAAGAAGAAAGTTACAGAAGATAAGTTAGAAACTTGAACCTGGTACTCATGGAAGCCGGGGTTGGAGAAATATTTTGGTCAGTTGAAGCCATAGGCATAGATGAGAAAGCTTAGGGAGAGTGTGTTGGGTGAGAAAAGGGCCTGGGGTAGAGCCTGGAGAGCACCAGCATTTAAAGAGGGGACAAAGAGGACTAGGAAGGAGTGAACAGAGAGCAAGAAGGAGAAACGAGATAGTAGTGTCCTGGAAGCTGAAGAACTGGGGCTTCAAGAAGAGGCTAGTGGTGTCAGATTTCTCACTGGTGGCCCCTCTCTCAAGATTATGAACCTCATTTATTCCTATCTGTTATATTGACATCAGAGTGAGACCATTTGTTTTTTCTTCACTCGTGTAAAGTCAACTATGAACAGTTTTTTCAAGTCTCTTCCCTGTTAGCCATACCACAGTTCTGGCTGTGGTATATAAACTTAGCAATCCTGCTTTCTTTTGATTTCCAGTTGGCTGTAATAATCACTCGCTGTTATAACTGTTCCCAGCATGTGAAACATATCAATCTTCTGCAGTCTCTCATCAGCATAGTAGCTTTATTCTTACTTGTTTATTTTCCAGTTTCCCATAGCACTTACTCTTTCAACCCTACTGTGGTATGTGTGACTTTTCTTCTGTCTCCCACCTTGAGATGCTGTGTGAATTTTGTCCTCTCTCCTTCTGCACACAGGTTTTATTAGCTACATTATCCACCTTACTGCTCCTATTCCTTATTCCTCCTATCCTGCTCTTCTGTCACTGGTAACTCCATTGCTGGTCACTTGTTCCCCTTTCTCCTTTTTTTTTTCTCCCTATTGTATTATGTGGTAGTATCTAATATTCATTTTGGTACTTCTCATTTATCTTTAGTATTTCCTTGTCCTATTTCCAGGACTAGATTGTTCATTTCTTAGGGGCAAGGAGGGCATCTTCACTTACTGTGAATTTGCCTCGCTCAGAATCTTGTATACATGTGTGCACATATACTGTTGATTGAGTTAACAGAACAGGAACTTCCCCAGAGCTCTGGGGATGAGGCATAAACAGAGCTCTCTGACTTCTCTTAGTTGGGCCATTTGAGCAGATGTAGATAAGAGATTTCTCACAGAAAATATCCTCATTGTTTGGGCTTTATTCCCCAGAGTTCCCTGAAGAACAGATTTTCTTCTTTATCTGTCCAAGTCAAGCTGTAAAGAAAGACCTCTGGCTGTTTCTTTTAGCTATTGGGACTTGCTTTGGGAATATTGTGTACGTATCCCCAAGCAATTTTTCTTTTCCAGATTCAAAAGATTTGGGGTTGTTACATATATTTTCCCAAGGCTAATCAGTTAATTAGGCTGAATGAAACTGTGGGCCAAAAGCTCAGTTTCCCCCCTGTGAATGCCCTAACATAGTGGCTGGGTTTGGTCACCTACTTTTTGGTTTTGAATAGCTCTCCAGATAGCTTGGAAGTTTTTAGAGATGGGAGCTAGGTCCTATATTGTGTGTCTTCCCCAATGTACCAAGCCATATGAATTGTACATGTCAGTGAACGTAAATGAAAAAAATGAACTCAGTACTTTTCTGTTCTGCTGTATTTATGTAAAAGGGGCAAATTTGCTTTGCTTCACTTGTTTTCAACACACTTGATATGAATTTTATGGCTATAAGGCCACATCCCAAACTAGTGAATCTGATAACATGTATCTAAATAGTACAACAGGGAAGCCAAGCTATCTCTAAAGCACAAACTTGAAACTTCTACATGTGATGAATAGCTGTTGTTTTCCTGAGAATACCTTTCTGCTTTTCCTGAGGGAATTGGCCTTTTCTCATCTTTCTTGCATTTCCCCTCAAATAACCTTGTGTTTCCATAAGAGCTTTCTGGAGAATGTTTTTAGCATTAACATAAGCGTTTGCTTGTTTCACCTTAAGTCCATAATTATTTTTGAGTTAGCCCTTCCAAGCTGATATTCTTCCACGTATGGCACTGCTTTTGCTTAGTGGTCACCTGGCTCCCTGGAATAATTTCTTTTTAAATAATTTTTCCTAGTTATTATTACAGGAAAATCATTGTGTTTATCATCATCCTGTGATCATTTTGTTTATCAGTGACAGTACCTGCTTTAACTGATAATGAACTAGCACACTCCAGTGTCCCTCACCTGCCTCTGACCACATGTTCCCATCAAACTTAGATCTTCTCATGGGCCCTTTTACTTTTGCTTGGATTCCCTTTCATATTTGTCATAAAGAAGCCTTGCTTTTTCCTCAGAGTTCCCTGTATCCAGAGGTATAAGTTGCAGCCAGTGCTAGTATTACAATAAAACATATAAAACTGTTGCTTAAGTTTGGAGATTGTAGGCAGACATTCCTGGCAGTAATGCCCTCATTGCTTGGCTTCATTGTTCTTGTGAAACTGTATTAGTCTAACAATGATTGTAGCTCCAAAGGAGAGGGGACAGACTGACAGAGGCATTTTTCTGTGCATACCCTACATAGGTTTCTGGGAACCTAAAGAGTGGTTGCAGGATTAGGGACATTTTGATTTTTCCCTGATGACAGGATCTTGATCAGGACATACTCAAGGTATAGCAAAACAGGAGATGTAGATGTTTCTTTCATATTACCTGGTTTTCTAAAAAAGGGCTTTCTTCTTTCCTTCAGTGAGATTAGTCGTCTGGACCTGGGTCTAAGTGTGGAAGTATGGAACAAAGGACTGATCTGGGACACCATGGTGGGGACTGTGTGGATTGCACTGAAGACAATTCGTCAGTCAGATGAGGTCAGTCAGTGCATTGCCCATTTGGAGGTAGGGTTCTAGCCCTTGCTTCTCTGCGTCCTAGCTCCATTCAGCTAATGTTCATCCATATATCTCAGATTTCTCTGCCCCCTTCCTAATTAGAGGACATAAAACCAGCTTATTCCTAATGTCACCGAGAGGTTCAGGGGATCTTATCTAAGGCCTTCCCTCTGCCCTGTGACTGAACTCAGAGGTGCCAGAGTACCTATTTAGCCTTATCAGGTAGATAGCCCCTTCTGAGTACTCTGTGTGTGTGTGGTGGTGGTGGGGTGGGTGGGATCAGCAGGGTGAAGGAGGGCAGTGCGAGGGAGGGGGAGAGAGGGGTGGGGGGAGAGGGAGAGAGAGAGAGAGAGAGAGAGAGAGAGAGAGAGAGAGAGAGAGAGAGAGAGTGAGAGTGTGTGTGTGTGTGTGTGTGTGTGAGAGAGAGAGAGAGAGAGAGATCGATCTAGGATACCTGTGGCTTCTGCATTCCCTCTAAGACACTGTTCTGAGAGGAGTCCCATTAAACTTCCTCAGCCAGCTCTTTGAGTCACCTATCCCAGGGACCTGATTTCAGTCTTCCTTCTTCCACATATAACCCTAACAGAGTTTAAGGAACTACAGGCTTGGCAATTGGTAATCACACTTGTCTTAATACACTATTTTCAAGACTGAATTTCCACTCCACTTTACCAGATTAGAACATAAGTCAGCATAATTTCCCTGTGACACTCACTTTGAATATTTTCACTGTGGTCCCAGTTCAGGTCAATTTAACTAGCCATGTTACTAGCTCTTTAGTGATTAGAAATAGTGACACATTAAGTGACATAGTCATTAAGTATTGTACAGATTAAATATTGATCCATGGAGATGCTTTGTTTTTGAGTTTAGCGCTCTGGAAATTCTATCCTCTGTGGGCTGGCAGAAAGCTGAGCACAGTGAAAGCTGCTCTCCCACCGAAGAGGGAGAACAGAAGCCACATACAGCAGAGGCAGGTGGTGACTCTGATGTGTTTGCCTCATTAGGATATGTGAGTGGCCCTCAGAAGCTCTCTGACAAGGAAAATGAGAGAAAAAGACCTGGCCCTTTAACCAAGAGGGGAGTCATGAAAGAGTGAAGTTTAATCTTAGATCTCTTTTCTAGGAAGGGCCTGGGGAATGGTCCACGTTGGAGGCAGAGACATTAATGAAAGATGATGAGATCTGTGGAACTAAAAACCCAACTCCCCATAAAATTTTGCTGGATGCAAGATTTGAGTTGCCTTTTGGTGAGTCTGATTAGATTTTAAAAAACATTTAATACTTTTTACCACATTGTTTGAAATTGTTTGTTAGTTGTTGTCTTACTGTGTCTTTTGTCAGCCATATCCTTTCAGGGCATTCTGTCTTCCACTCCATTCCCTGTAACACCTAGCTCAGGAATGTGCAAAGTAGACTCTAGAATGGTGCTCATTAAAGAATCCACACTGAAAGCATTCTTTTCAAGTCATTTAGTTTCTTATAACTATTTATTATAATAAAATACCTGCTTGTCAGAGAATATCAATGATTTATTCTTTTGATAATATTTTAACATTTATTGCCTTGAAGTGAATATATACCTTGTGATTTGTTAATTTAAGCATTGAAGTAGCACTAATAAATAGAATAGTAATTTACAAAGTAATTTTAAAAATCACACAAAAAGGGCTTCCCTGGTGGCTCAGTGGTTAAGAATCCACTTGCCAATGCAGGGGACAGGGTTCTAGCCCTGGTCCGGGAAGCTCCCACGTGCTGTGGAGCAACTAAGCCTGTGCGCTGAAACTACTGAGCCTGTGCTCTAGAGCCTGCCAGCCACAACTACTGAGCCTGCGCCTAGAGCCTGTACTCCGCAACAAGAGAAGCCACTGCAATGAGTAGCCCATGCACCACAACGAAGACTAGCCCCGGCTCAACACAACTAGAGAAAGCCGACGCAGCAATGAAGACCCAACACAGCCAAAAAAAAGAAAAAAGAAAAAAATCACACAAAAATACATGTTCCTTATAAAAATTCAAATAGCATGGAAATGTACATGGATAAAAAGTTAAGTTTCTCTTCCTCCTTCTTTTGACCTCCTTTGCATTCCCCAGAAATAAGCCACTGTTAACTTTCTTGTGTCTTGGTTTAGGCACAAGAAATTTCTTCTCTAGAAATTTATTTTGACAAAATTTGGGTCATACTCTATGTACTATATATGGTGATAGTATTGTATAAACTAAAGCATATTATCTTGGACATCATTTCATGTTATACTTTAAGATCTATCTTGCTGATCTCAACAGCTGCTTTATGTCATAAGTTATCTAACCAATCCTTTTTTTTTTTGCAATCCTTTATTGATTGACATGTAGGTTGTTTCCAGTTTTTTTTGATATACCACTGTAATGAACAGCTTTATCTATGCCCATTTATGAATCTAGGATAAATTGCTTAAAGTAGAATTTAAGGAATAGGTCAAATCTACAAACAAGAAATAATGGAAAGGGTGTGGAGAAAAGGGAACCTTCCTACACTGTTGATGGGAAAGAATATTGGTACAGCCACTATGGAGAACAGTATGGAGGTTCCTTAAAAAACTAAAAATAGAACTACCCTATGACCCACCAATCCCACTACTGGTCATATACCCAGAGAAAACCATAATTCAAACAACACATGCACCCCAATGTTCATTGCAGCACTACTTACAATAGCCAGGACATGGAAGCAACCTAAATGTCCATCAATAGAGGAATGGATAAACAAGATGTGGTACATGTATACAATGGAATATTACTCAGCCATAAAAAGGAACGAAATTGGGTCATTTGTAGAGATGTGGATGGACCTAGAGAGTGTCATACGGAGTGAAGTAAGTCAGAAAGAAAGAGAAAAACAAATATCGTATATTAATGCATATATGTGTAATCTAGAAAAATGGTATAGATGATCTTATTTGCAAAGCAGAAATAGAGACACAGACGTAGAGAACAAACAGTATGGATACCAAGGTGGAAAGCAGGGCAGGTGGAAGGAATTGGGAGATTGGGATTGACATATATACACTACTGATACTATGTATAAGAGATAACTAATGAGAACATACTGCGTAAAGCACAGGCAAGTCTACTCTGGGGACCTAAAAGGAAGGAAATCCAAAAAAGAGGGGATATATGTATATGTATAGTTGATTCATTTTGCTGTATAGTAGAAACTAACGCAACATTGTAAACCAACTATACTCCAATAAAAATTAATTAAATAAAGAATAGGTCACAAGGTATGTGTATCGTTACTCTTCCTAGTACTGCCAAGTTGCTTGTGTTAAAAAAAAAAAAAAAGATTGTACCAGTTTATATTTCTGCCAACTATGTCTCAGGTGTCTCTTTTCTGCATATCTTTGCCAACATTTTGTAATTTCCCAATTTTTTTTTTTTTTTTTTTTTTTTTGGGTTTTTGGGCCTCTTCCTTTTTTTGCCTCTCCCGTTGTGGGGGACAGGCTCCAGACGCGCAGGCTCAGCGGCCATGGCTTACGGGCCCAGCCGCTCCGTGGGATGTGGGATCCTCCCAGACCGGGGCACGAACCCGTGTCCCCTGCATCGGCAGGCGGACTCTCAACCACTGTGCTACCAGGGAAGCCCCTGTAATTTCCCAATTTTTAAATGTTGGTATCTTGTTTAATTTAACTTTATTCAGTTTTAATTTTGACTGTTTACTGATATTCATGTATACTAGTGTTGTTGCTGCTGTCTTATGATTTCAGTCTATTTATATCTTGTACCTTATGGTGATTTGAGCAAAAATGGCATGATTTTCCAGTAAGCTCAGAAATAACTAAACTCAGAGCAACTATTACTTCAGAAAAATAGAAAAGAAGACTTTCTTGTGTGTCTGTAGGCCAAGTTGCAGGTGAAGAGAAAAGCAATTGGAGTTCTTGCTTGTGGCTTAGTTGCTTGTATTCTTAATGCTGTGTTCTCAGCTATACTAGTCCGGAATGGAGTTTCTGTCTTGTTGAATTGGGAGGGGGGTGGGTGGGGATGGGTCTTGGTTCAAATACAGCAGAAATTGGCTATTCTTAAAGTTGTAGTAGATTTTCTTGAATATATATTTCTTCATTTGCTGTGTGCTCTTAGGACCATTTCTAGAGACTTTAAATGGTTTTTTTTTTTTTTTCTGATTTGGCAAAAAAAAAATAATAAAAAAAAATTAAAAAAGAAAATCAAACGTACCCATATATTCAGCACAAAAGAGAAACACTGAGACAAAATATGGATCAGGTCAACTTTGGTGACATTTAAACAGGTACACTTTTTAGTAATCCACATGAAGGAATCAAATACAGTCCTTTCTCCTTTGTCCCTCCTATCCAAAATTTCACCTCCTTCCCCTCAAACCGCTCTTCAGCAATGGGTGGCAATATTTCAAAGTCTTATAATAAAACCTTCAAGTAATTTACTACCTAATTTGTACAGCACTCCTCAGCCATAAAATGGTTTACTTTGCACTTGTTGAAAATAAGTGAGAGAGGAGGAAGAGCTGCTCTGCTGCAGTCTGTAAGTTCTGATGTAGAACAAATTCACCAAAATACATTGTTAAGTAGAAAACAGCAAGGGACAGTGAATGTGTTAGAATATGCTACTATTTGTGTTTTTAATAGGGGTTGGGGGTCTACATATATGCTTATAGATTCAAAGACTGCCCCTGGAACGATATACAAGAAAGCATTAATTGTGGTACCCTATAAGAAAGAAAGATAACTGATTTGTGAGGGAGACCTAATTTTCCCTGAGTAACTTTTTAAACCATTGTGCATGTATTACTTACCTCACCCCTCAAAATAGTTTTAAGGAGAAAAATACAGAGCTACAAGGATGTTTATTGCAGTACTATTTATAATAGTACAAACTTTGAACAATCTAAGTACCCAACAAGAGGAGTGGTTAAATATATTACAGTTTAAATTAAAAGCCCAGGCTCTGGAGCCAAATCAACTATGATTTTTAAATTTTTATTTTATTTTTCTTTTTGGCTGCGTTGGGTCTTCATTGCTGCACGCGGGCTTTCTCTACTTGCAACGAGCGGGAGCTACTCTTCCTTGCGGTGTGTGGGTTTCTCATTGCGGTGGCTTTGCTTGTTGTGAAGCACAGGCTCTAGGCGTACGGGCTTCAGTAGTTGTGGCCCATGGGCTCTAGAGTGCAGGCTCAGTAGTTGTGGCGCACAGGCTTAGTTGTTCCGCGGCATGTGGGATCTTCCCGGACCAGGGCTCGAACCCGTGTCCCCTGCACTGGCAGGTGGATTCTTAACCACTGTGCCACCAGGGATGCCCACATTTGATGTTTTTAAAAGATGTTGCATTTTTTTTGGAAGTTGTTATAGTCCATCTTAAATATATACAATGAGGGTATGTGTACCATTTTTCTTTACTCTTTTTTTATTGTGGTAAAATACATGTAACATAAAATTAACTATCTCAACCATTTAAAAGATACAATTCAGTGGTATGAATACATTCATAACGCTGTGGAACCATCACCACTATTCATATCCATAGTTCTTTTCATCTTGCAAAACTGAAACTCTATACCCATTAAACAGTAACTCCCCATTCCCCTCTGCCCCCAGCCCCTGGCAACCACCATTCTACTTTCTATCTCCAATTTTGACTACTCTAAGTACCTCATACAATTGGAATCATACAGTATTTGTTTTTTTGTGACTGGCTTATTTCACTTAGCATAATATCCTCAAGATTCATCTATGCTGTAGCGTATGTCAAAATTTGCTCCCTTTTTAAGACTGAATGATATTCCCTAGTATGTGTATATCACATTTTGCTTATCTGTTCATTCATTGATGGGCACTTAGGTTGCTTCCACATTTTAGCTATTATGAATAATGCTGTGAACATGGGTATGCAAATATCTCTTTGAGATTCTGCTTTCAGTTCTTTTGGGTACATACCCAGAAGTGGAATTTCTGGATCATATGGTAATTCTATTTTTAATTTTTTGAAGAATCATCATACTGTTACCCATAGTAGCTGTACCATTTTACATTCCCACCAACAGTGTACGAGGGTTCCAATTTCTCCACATCCTCGCCAACACTTGTTATTTTGTTTTTTTGGGTTTTTTCCCCTGTTTTTTTGATAGTAGCCATCCCAATGGGTGTGAAGTGGTATCTCATTGTAGTTTTGACTTGTATTTCCCTAATGATTGAGCATCTTTTTATGTGCTTTTCGGCTATTTTTATATCTTCTTTGGAGAAACATCTATCAAGTCCTTTGCCCATTTTTTTTTTTAACATCTTTATTGGGGTATAATTGCTTTACAATGGTGTGTTAGTTTCTGCTTTATAACAAAGTGAATCAGTCATACATAAACATATGTTCCCATATGTCTTCCCTCTTGCGTCTCCCTCCCTCTCACCCTCCCTATCCCACCCCTCCAGGCTGTCACAAAGCACCGAGCCAATATCCCTGTGCCATGCGGCTGCTTCCCACTAGCTATCTACCTTACTACGTTTGTTAGTGTGTATATGTCCATGACTCTCTCTCGCCCTGTCACAGCTCACCCTTCCCCCTCCCCATAACCTCAAGTCCGTTCTCTAGGAGGTCTGCGTCTTTATTCCTGCCTTACCCCTAGGTTCTTCATGACATTTTTTTTTCTTAAATTCCATATATATGTGTTAGCATACAGTATTTGTCTTTTTCTTTCTGACTTACTTCACTCTGTATGACAGACTCTAGGTCTATCCACCTCACTACAAATAGCTCAATTTCGTTTCTTTTTATGGCTGAGTAATATTCCATTGTATATATGTGCCACATCTTCTTTATCCATTCATCCGATGATGGGCACTTAGGTTGTTTCCATCTCTGGGCTATTGTAAATAGAGCTGCAATGAACATTTTGGTACATGACTCCTTTTTTTTTTTTTTTTAACATCTTTATTGGAGTATAATTGCTTTACAATGGTATGTTAGTTTCAGCTTCACAACAAAATGAATCAGTTATATATATACATATATTCCCATATCTCTTCCCGCTTGCGTCTCCCTCCCTCCCACCCTCCCTATCCCACCCCTCCAGGCGGTCACAAAGCACCGAGCTGATCTCCCTGTGCTATGCGGCTGCTTCCCACTAGCTATCTACCTTATGTTTGGTAGTGTATATATGTCCATGCCTCTTTATCGCTTTGTCACCGTTTACACTTCCCCCTCCCCATAGCCTCAAGTCCATTCTCTAGTAAGTCTGTGTCTTTATTCCTGTTTCACCCCTAGGTTTTTCATGACATTTTTTTTTTTAAATTCCATATATATGTGTTAGCATACGGTATTTGTCTCTCTCTTTCTGACTTACTTCACTCTGTATGACAGACTCTAGGTCTATCCACCTCATTACAAATAGCTCAATTTCGTTTCTTTTTATGGCTGAGTAATATTCCATTGTATATATGTGCCACATCTTCTTTATCCATTCATCTGTCGATGGACACTTAGGTTGCTTCCATGTCCTGGCTACTGTAAACAGAGCTGCAATGAACACTGTGGTACATGACTCCTTTTGAATTTTGGTTTTCTCAGGGTATATGCCCAGTAGTGGGATTGCTGGGTCATATGGTAGTTCTATTTGTAGTTTTTTAAGGAACCTCCATACTGTTCTCCATAGTGGCTGAACCAATTCACATTCCCATCAGCAGTCCTTTGCCCATTTTTGAATTGGGTTTTTGTTATTGTTGAGTTTTAGGAGTTCTTTATATATTCTGGGGATTAATCCCTTATCAGATATATGATTTGCAAATATTTTCTCCTATTCTGTGGGTTACTTTTTCATTCTGTTGATACAGAAAAGTTTTTAATTTTAATGAAGTCTAATTTGTCTATTTTTTGTTGTTGTTGCCTGTGCCTTTGGTGTCCTATCCAAGAAATCACTGCTAAATCCAGGGTTGTGCAGTTTTGGCCCTATGTTTTTTTCTAAGAGTTTTCCAGTTTTGGGTCTTGCATTTAGGTTTTGATCCATTTTCTGTTAATTTTTCTATATGATGTTAAATAAGGGTCCACCTTCATTTTGTGCATTGTAGATACTCAGTTATCCTAGCACCATTTCTTTCTTTTTCTTAAATTAATTTTTATTGGAGTATAGTTGATTTACAATGTTGGGTTAGTTTCTGCTGTACAGCAAAGTGAATCAGTTATACATATACATATATTGACTCTTTTTTAGATTTTTCCCATATAGGTCATTACAGATTATTGAGTAGCGTTCCCTGTGCTATATAGTAGGTCCTTATTAGTTATCTATTTTATATATATGTCAATCCCAAGGTCGCAATTTATCCTTCCCCGCCCCATTAGTAACCATAAGTTTGTTTTCTACATCTGTGACCCTATTTCTGTTTTGTAAATAGGTTCATTTGTACCATTTGTTTTTTAGATTCCACATATAAGTGATATCATATATTTGTCTTTCTCTGTCTGACTTACTTCACTCAGTATGACAATCTCTAGGTCCATCCATTTTGCTGCAAATGGCATTATTTCATTCTTTTTTATGGCTGAGTAATATTCCATTGTATATATGTACCACATCTTCTTTATCCATTCATCTGTCGATGGACATTTAGGTTGCTTCCATGTCCTGGCTATTGTAAATAGTGCTGCAATGAACATTGGGGTGCATATATCTTTTTGAATTATGGTTTTCTCCAGGTATATGTCCAGGTGTGGGATTGCTGGATCATATGGTAGCTCTATTTTTAGTTTTTTAAGGAACCTCTATAGTGTTCACCATAGTGGCTGTACCAAGTTACTTTCCCACCAACAGTATAGGAGGGTTCCCTTTTCTCCACACCCTCTCCAGCATTTATTTTTTGTAGATTTCTTAATGATGGCCATTCTGACTGGTGTGAAGTGATACCTCACTGTGGTTTTGATTTGCATTTCTGTAATAATTAGCGATGTTGAGCATCTTTTCATGTGCCTCTTGGCCATCTGTATGTCTTCTTTGGAGAAATGTCTGTTTAGATCTTCTGCCCATTTTTTGATTGGGTTGTTTGTTTTTTGATATTGAGCTGCATGAGCTGTTGGTGTATTTTGGAGATTGATCCCTTTTTGTTCACTTTGTTTGCAAATATTTTCTCCCATTCTATGGGTTGTCTTTTCATTTTGTTTATGGTTTCCTTTGCTGTGAGAGATTTAAGTTTCATTAGTTCCCTTTTGTTTATTTTTGTTTTTATTTTCATTATTCTAGGAGGTGGATCAAAAAAGATCTTGCTGTGATTTACGTCAGAGTGTTCTGCCTATGTTTTCTTTCTTTTTTTAAAAAAATTTATTTTTTTTTAAATAAGATTTTATTTATTTTTGAATTTTTAATTGAGGTATAGTTGATCCACTATGTTGTGTCAGTTTCAGGTGTATAGCAAAGTGATCCAGTTAAAATACATAGACATCTGTTTTTTTTCAGATTCTTTTCCCTCATAGGTTACCACAAAATATATAGTTCCCTGTGCTGTACAGCAGGTCCCCGTTTTCTGTCCATTTTATATTTAGTAGTGCCAGCACCATTTCTCTTTTTTTTTAAAGTAAATTTATTTATTTATTTATTTATTTTTGGCTGCATTGGGTCTTCGTTGCTGTGCACGGGCCTTCTCTAGTTGTGGCGAGTGGGGGCTACTCCTTGTTGTGGTGCACGGGCTTCTTGTTGCGGTGGCTTTTCTTGTTGCAGAGCACGGGCTCTAGGCGCATGGGCTTCAGTAGTTGTGGCACATGGGCTCAGTAGTTGTGGCTCACAGGCTGTAGAGTGCAGGCTCAGTAGTTGTGGCAACGGGCTTAGTTGCTCCGCGGCATGTGGGATATTCCCGGACCAGGGCTTGAACCAGTGTCGCCTGCATTGGCAGGCAGATTCTTAACCACTGCGTCACCAGGGAAGTCCCAGCACCATTTCTTGAAAGGATGCTTTTCCCCATTGAATGTTCTTGGTACCCTTGAAAAAAATCATTTGATCATATATGTAAGGGCTTATTTCTGGGCTCTTTATTCTCTTTTATTGGTCTATATGTCTGTCTTTATGTCAGTAGCATACCGTTTTGATTTACTATAGCTTTTTAAAAAAATTTATTTATTTATTTTTGGCTGCTTTGGTTCTTCATTGCTGTGCATGGCTTTCTCTAGTTGTGGCAAGCAGTGGCTTTTCTTCGGTGCAGTGTGCGGGCTTCTCATTTCTGTGGCCTCTATTGTTGCGGAGCATGGGCTCTAGGCACGTGGGCTTCAGTAGTTGTGACACATGGGCTCAGTAGTTGTGGCTTGTGGACTCTAGAGCTCAGGCTCAGTAGTAGTGGCGCATGGGCTTAGTTGCTCTGTGGCATGTGGGATCTTCCTGGGCCAGGGCTCGAACCCATGTGCCCTGCATTGGCAGGCAGATTCTTAACCACTGCGCCACCAGGGAAGTCCTACTATAGCTTTTTAATAGGTTTTGAAATAAGGAAGTATGAGTCCTCTAGCTTTGTTCTTCCTTTTCAAGAATATTTTGGGTATTTGGGGTCTGTTGAGATTCCATATGGATGGGGTTTTATATTTCTGTAAAAAAAATATTGGGATTTTAATAGCGACTGTGTTGAATCTTTCAATCATTTTAGGAGGTATTGACATCTTAACAATATTGTCTTCTCATTCATTGGGAATAATAATATATTATTTTGGTTTTTGTGAAGATTCAAGATAATGTTCATGGCAAGAACCAAGCCATCAGTAAAATTAGTCCATCACCACCACCCTTCTAACTTAGATTGTATGATTGAATAAAGTATTATCAACCTATGATTAAATTATTAGCCTGGTAATGTGGTTTCTTCTTTTTTGTGATAGATATCCCAGAGGAGGAAGCCAGATATTGGACCTACAAATTGGAGCAAATCAATGCCTTGGGAACTGACAATGAGGTAGGAACTGTTTTTTACAATGTAAAGAGTGTCTTTATAGGACGCTTTAAGGGAGTGACTCAGGAACATGTTGAAGAATGAAAGAATTTAAACTGCATTAGCGAAAAAAGGTAACTAGAAGATTGCCTATTATTAGAAAGATCTGTCTGCTTTTTCTTTTCTTCCCATTGTCCCCCAGAAGTGGCTGAATTGGCCCTAGTCTGGCTCTAGACTGTTGGGGAGCAAGCTTATACTAGGGAATCTGTCCTCTTGTTACACAGATGAGCAGAAGCCTTTTTTTCCTGCTTGTTCCCAGATTTTTGGATATGTATCCTTATTATGTGCTCTTTTTAGGAATGTTTAGACTATTGCATTGCTTAGTCCTGCTGTCCTAACTTATTTCCAGAGATGAGTTTTGTGCACAGAATAGAACACAATCAGCTCAACCTGGGCCAGCAAGAATGGGGAGTGTTTTTGTTGGTGGTGGTGGAGGGAAAAGATAAGTTTTTTTACTTTAGGGCATGTTGGGCTATTAGAAAATTTGTCTGGTAAGCAACCTGTTAGGAAACATCTGGTAAGCAACCTAATGTGAGAATCTGAAGCTCAGGGTATGATGAGGTCGGGTATAGAGTTTGGATTTATCAAGATATTTGTAGCAATTGGAGTCATAGGAATAGAAGAGCTCACTCAGGTAAAGTATGTAGAAAGAGTATTGAAGAACAGGGACAAAACCTTGGGAAACATCAAGGGTAGAATCCTGAGAAACAAAAGAGACTGAGAAAGAGCTGCCTGAAAGAGAGTAGGCGAACCAGAAAAAGGTTTATGGAACAAAGGAAAAAAAAAGTTTTGAGGCAGAAATTCTTGACAGTGTGAAATATTACTGAGAGCAAAGAAGATGAGTAATGAAGTGGAGCCATTGGATTTGTCAATTAATGGTCAATATCCATAGGTTAGTACAGGAAGCCAAAATGCAGTGATTTGATGTGTGTGTTAGTTTCCCAGGGCTGCCAAAACAAAGTACCACATACTGTTGGCTTACAGCAACAGAAATTTATTCTCTCACAGTTCTGGTGGCTAAAATTCTGACATCAGGTGTTGGTGGGATCAGTTCCTTCTGGAGGTTTTGAGGAAGAAGCTGTCCCATGCCTTTCTTCTACTTTCTGGTGCTTCCTAGCAGTCTTTGCTGTTCCTTGGCTTATAGACACATTATTTCAGTCCCTGTCTCCACGATCACATACCTTCCTGGGTTGTATCTGCCTGTCCTCACAGTACGTTGTCATCTCTTTTTGTGTCTGTGTTCAAATTTCCATTGATTTTTGTGGGGGCACCAGTCATTGGATTAACTTGATTACATCTGCAGAGACTCTATTTCCAGATAAGGTCACATTCATAGGTACTGGGGATTAGGATTTCACAACATTATCTTTTTTTGTTTTTTTGTAGGCAGATTATATCTTGCCTCTCTTTTAGTGATGTTAAAATTACACAGTGGATTCAACTTGGTGTCAGCCTATTTCATCCATTTTAAAGTGATCCCACAAGCCTTTTACCTAATGGTTTTAGCAGCAAATAATAATCATTATTTTATTAGGGTTGCACAATGATGATTTTCTAATTATATCATCTCTTCAGCATTTATTATCTATGATTTGTCTGCCTCATCAGCTGTTTGGTTCACTTGAAATAAAGTCCGTGCAAGAAAAACATTCTCTTTAGCAATTTTCAAAATAATGAGTGTTGCATAAGCAGCTTCTCAAGGTGACCAGTGAGTTGTTTTCTTTTTTTTTAGTGGGATATTATTATCAATTTATGGATTTTGATATATTTGTGTTTCAATCCATTGCAATCTTTATTCTTTTTGATACTAAACTCGTTTCATCTTTGGTTAGTGGGAGCGTCTTCCTTTCTTTTTTCTATTTTTATCATGAAAAAATTTTAAACAAATATAAAAGTTGAAGGACTAGTAAAATGAAACCTGTACACTTATCTCCAAGATTCAATGATTATCAAAATTTGGTCATACTTGCTGCAAAACCATTTTAAAAACACAATGTAGAATCTTATCTTTTTTTTTCTTATGGTGTGCAACAGTTCCCATCCACAGCAGCCTCTTGGGTCAAGACTGGCCTAGGGATCTACCACTTGACAGAGTGGAAATGTATCACTATTTATTACTTTTCCTACTCATGGAAAATTAGGTTTTCACTATTATAAATGCATGCTTCAGTGAACATCTCTGACCCTGTTTCTCTCTGCTTATGTATGGGAGATTCTCTGGCTATATACCTGGAAATAGAATTGCTTTGTTGTGGAATGTGCTCTGTGTAACGTTACTGGATGTTGCTAAGTTGTTCTCTAAAATAATTATACCAATTTATATTCCACTTTTTCTGCTGCTCTGTATCCTTACTGATACTTGTTATTGCCAGATTTAAAATTTGTGCTAATCTAATGAGTTTAGAGCTTTATCATTTAAATTTGCATTTGTCCATTTATTGGTGACATTCATTTAGTCATTTATTCACCAGATAACTTATTGAACACTGTGTACCAGGCCCTGTCGTAGGTGCTTGGTATACATCAGAAGTTAAAACAAAGACCAATGTCCTCTTGGATCAAATAGGAGGAGACAGACAATAAGCAGGAACCTAATAAATATAGTTAAGCATCAAAAGATGAGAAGTCTTCTAGGAGGAAAACCTATTCTCTCCATTCACTTTTTACACTTCTTTTGTTAGGTTTATTCCTAATCATTGTGAATGGTATATTTAAAAATTACACTTTCTAATAGGTCATTGCTATCTATATAAGGCAATGCTGCTCGATTTTTTTTTTTTTAGTATTGATCTTATTCACCAACTCTTATTAATTCTACTAGTTTAGAGATTCCTTTGGGTTTTTTAGTTTTTGCATCTTTGAATAATAAGTTTTTATCTCTTTTCAATCCTTATGTCTTATTTTTTAAGTGAAATTTTTACATATGTTTTTATTAACAGACTTAAATATTAAGCAGTTTGTAGAGAGGGCTTCCATATCACATCTTACCCGCCCCCTCCCTCTAGTTTTCCTTATTATTAGCATTTTACATTAATATGGTACATTTATTACAATTAATGAGCCAATATTGATATATTATTATTAACTAAAAGTTAATATTTTATATTTCTATTTATTTTTGTTTTATTAAATAAAAATCCTTAGTTTTTTTCAAATTTCCTTAGTTTTTATTTCATGCGTTTTTTCAGTTCCATTACCCCATAACGGACACTGGGTTACATTCAGTTGTAATATCTCCTTCGGCTTCTCTTGGCTGTAATATTTTCTCAGACTTTCCTTGTTTTTGGTGACAGCTTATTTTTAAAAATTCATTGTGTAAAACATCCTGTGTAATTTTTAATGGTAAGAGTGGGGAAGCCTTGTCTTTTTCCTGACTATAAGGGGAATGCTTCATAAATCTTGAAGTATGATATTTGCTGTAGATTTTGATAGGTACCCTTTATCAGATTAAGGAAATTCTATTTTCTTTCTGATTTTCTAAGATATTTTGTCATGAAAAAGTAAGGGATTTTATCAAGATCTTTTCTGCATTGTTTGATCACATAGTTTTTCTCCTTTAGTCTGTTTGTGTGGTGAATTGCATGAATAGATTTTCAGATATTGAACTGTCCTTTCATTTAAAGTCCTTCTGGTCATGATACATGAAAATTTATATGCCAGCATTCATGCATATACGTACATATTCACACAGAAATATAAAGACTTATTTATGATAAATAAATGTCATATGATTTGGTTTGGTAATCTAGGATTTTTGCATCTGTATTCATAAATGAGATTGGCCTATAATTTTCCTTACTTTTACTACTTTTATTTTCTTGTACATAGGTATTATGGATTTTTTTCCTTAGCTCTCTTAATATTATTAATTAGGCTCTAGCTGGTCTTCAGCATTCTGCTTTGGACCTGAAAGAGATTCATTAAATACGTCTGCTGGAAATATCTACTCTCATCTATTAAGTCTGAATTCTTCTAGTTTAATGCTTAAAGTTTTATGATTTTGTCACTCTTGTGCCTGTGTACTGCCTATAAAAATCACCATTATTTGTAATAGTTATTATAACCAAGTCCCTTTGTTACTTTGGAGTGGGTTGTTTAGCCTTTAAGAAGTTTTGAACTTTTTTATGATTGATAGTTTTACTAATACTATTATATTGTTTAAACTGTGCCTGATCCTTCCCCGAAGTAGTAATAGCACTGTCTACCTCTGATATTTGTATCGTAGTTTGTTTCTTGTAAAGTACTTTATATATAAAAGTATATTTATTTACAAAAAGTGTTTTGTATTTTGTATCCAACCACTTGAAATGCCCTTCACCACTAACACTCATGTGTAAACCACCATCAGTTTTCATCTGGATAATTGCAATAATTAGTCTTATTTCCCCTCTGGTTGCCTATAGTTCTTCTCACACAGCAGCCAGAGTGATTTTTAAAGTATAATGAAGTCATATCCCTCTAGTGTTTAAAACTTTACATACCTTCTCAATAGACTAGAGTAAAATCTAAACTCTTTACCATGATTACAAACTCTATTCCCCCAGTGCCTGGAACAAGGCCTTGCACATAATAGGCACTCAAGAAATATCTGTTGAATGAATGACTCCTTCAGTGTTAGAGAAGCTCTGTCTTGCCCAGAATCTTACAATTTATTAATAAATGGCAGAGTCAGGATGAAAACTCATATTTGCAACTTATATTTGCAAGTTGCTAGACCAAGTTATGTTTTCCCAATCCTCCAATGGGCTCTGAACCAAGCCATTTTTTCTTCCAGACTCTGTGTACCTGTGTTAATTTGTTTATACCTTTTTCTTTTTGTTTTGCCTTTCCAAATCTTGTCCATCTTCAAGACTTGAACTTAATGTGGCTCCTTTTTATAGAGCTTTCTTTCTATGGCTTCAGTACTCTGTTTTTAGGTGGTGATAGTGGTGGGTTGTGTTGGGGAGGTTAGAGTATAACTGGGAAGGGGACACTAGTAAATACCAGATGCTTATGTAAGTAATTTCACTTCCCACATGACCTTGTGAGGGAAGAAGCCTCATCTTTTTAAAGATGGAGAAAACTCAAGTCTCAGAGAGATTTTCAGTTCTACCACCCAAATGGGGAAATCTGTATATTATTTGAGTTTTCTAAGTCCTCTGAACTTCTAAGGCTAAGCCTTCTACAGCTGCCTGGTAGAGCTGGAATGGTGCCCAGGTGCCCTTGGTCAGAACAGCCTTCCTGCTATCCTGCTTTAGCCTGTTGCATTGGGCCAATGCCATATCTGTTAGTCTGGCCTGTATGTCAGGATCACACAGGGAAATCAGCAGCAGGATGATCGGTTGCTGTTTGATAAGAAATTTGACTCTAGTCAAATGCTAAACCTTTTTATAGGTAGCTATAGCTTTTTTGTTGTTGTTTTGTTTTTCTCCTTCTTTACTTGGGCCTCTTACTATGTTTTTTTTTTGTTTTTTTTTTTGTTTATCCTTTCTGCCTCTAGTATTCTAGTCAAGAAGAAAGCCAGAGGAAACCATTGCCTACTGCTGCCGCCCAGTGTTGTAAGTGAGAAACTTGTCTTTGAATCTTCTTAATCACAACTTTCTGTCAGTTCTCTAAATGTGGCTTATTTTGAGTTGGGGAGGTTGGAGATGTGGTATGTATAAACAGGAGATATTCCAGAAATATACCTTATTCAGGCCCATACTGCCAATGGCTATCTGTCCTTTAGCTTTAAGAAGAGATCTTTTGGTTTTGTGTGGCTATAGGTAGGGCAATGGTATTCTTTTTTCTCCATTTGCCTGCTTTTACCCCTGGAGGAATGTTTTCTCCCATTCTGTCCCCATTTATCTGTTATTATCCTTTAAGGCTCAGTTTAAATGTTACCCCCTCTGGGAAATCTTCATGCTGTTTCCTCCTTCTCCACAGTCTAGCTTAGATCTTTCTCTGCTTCCATCGTATAACCTATCATATGTTATAATCTATGTATATTTCTTTGACAAGAAAGCAAAATTTTTAAAGATATAGAATCTTCCATTTGTATTCCTAGTATCTGGCTCAATACCTGATACATAGTATAGTAAGCCTCAGTAAAGTTTGATAAACGATTAACTGAGTGAGAGAACTTGTCATTTCTTCTGAGATTAACTTATCCAGACCACACATTTTACTTCTTGAAATGAGCCGTGCATTGTTGGTATATTGGTATCTTCTCAGCTTCTCTCAGAAGAGCTTGAAGAGATACTGAAGGACTGACTTGAAATCAGTTCTCTTTCACTTTTTCAACCTGTGGGGGTGGGTGTGCATATGTTGTGTTTCTTTTGTTTTGCTATAGTGTTTCTGAATCAATGCCAAACTTTTAGCAACTGCAGGTTGATAGTGGTGGTGATAGTGGTAGTAGTTATTGTAGTAATACTAGTAATAATAAGAACCACAGCAGCTAACGTATTTTGAGGTTTTATGGTATGCCAGATGCTGCTGTAAGAGCTAAAATATACTAACTTATTTAATCTTCACAACAACCCTAAGACATAGATTTTACTGTTTTCCTCATTTTTAAGATGAGGAAACTGAGATGGAGTTATTTGCCACAGATCACATAGGTAGTAAGTGGTGAAGTAAATATTCAGATATAGACAATCTGACTCTATAGCCTATGCATTGAACCACTATGTTATACTACTTCCTTCATATTGTTTCTGAAAAGGAAAACCTCCATTCATGGTTTATAAATCCATTGGTTGCCTTCCATTCTATTGGCTACTTACTTTCCTGATAAAAGTAAGACCACTGGCAGAGGTCAACACTTTTTCTTTATTTAAGGAAAACCTATTTTTCATATGACTTATTACTTTTGTTTTTGTCATTTAGGAACTAGGATTTATCAAATATTTAGGGTCATGGGAGACCACAAGAATCTGAATTGAAGACCAAGTTGTGAATTAAAGTCTATACGTCATTTCCAAAACTCATTGTAATGAGCTAATTTTGAGTTTTTAATCTTTTAAATCTTTTTCCAGGACTGCTAATGAGAAGTGAAATAGAACGATTGATATTTCTCTTGCCATTCCTTCCTGGGTCCATTTGATGAAATGCAGTTCAAGTGATTAAAGAGCAAATGCCTAGAGGGCAGGAGGAAATAAGAGACTATAATAATCAGCACGTTTATTAATTCTCTTACATTTTTTATATGTTTACCAGCTAATTTGTTTTTATGTGCATAGACTATTCCTGTCTTTTGACTACTCTCTAATATATATATATGTATTTTTTTAAACTATTTTTAAAATAGATCTTTATTGGACTACAATTGCTTCACAATACCGTGTCAGCTTCTGTTGCACAACAAAGTGAATCAACCATATGCATACACATGTCCCCATATACCCTCCCTCTTGAGCCTCCCTCCCACCCTCCCTATCCCACCCCTCTAGGTGGTCACAAAGCACTGAGCTGATCTCCCTGTGCAATGCAGCTGCTTCCCACTAGTTATCTATTTTACATTTGGTAGTGTATATATGTCAATGCTACTCTCTCACTTCGTCCCAGCTTCTCCTTCCCCACCGTGTCCTCAAGTCCGTTCTCTATGGCTGTGTCTTTATTCCTGTCCTGCCCCTAGGTTCATCAGAACCATTTTTCAAAAAAGATCTTGCTGTGGTTTATGTCAAAGAGTGTTTTTCCTATGTTTTCCTCTAAAAGTTTTATACTGTCTGGTCTTACATTTAAGTCTTCAATCCATTTGGAGTTTATTTTTGTGTATGGTGTTAGGGAGTGTTCTAATTTCATTCTTTTACATGTAGCTGTCCAGTTTTCCCAGCACCAGTTATTGAAGAGGCTGTCTTTCCACCATTGTATGTTCTTGCCTCCTTTGTTGTAAATTAGGTGCCCATTATGTGTGTGGGTTTATCTCTGGGCTTTCTATCCTGTTCCATTGATCTGTATTTCTGTTTCTGTGCCAGTACCATACTGTCTTGATTACTGTAGCTTTGTGGTATAGTTTGAAGTCAGGGAGCCTGATTCCTCCAACTCCGTTTTTCTTTCTCAAGATTGCTTTGGCTGTTTGGGGTCTTTTATGTTTCCATACGAACTGTAAGATTTTTTGTTCTAATTCTGGCTGTTGGTAGTTTGATAAGGATTGCATTGAATCTGGAGATTGCTTTGGGTAGTATAGTCATTTTCACAATATTGATTCTTCCAATCAAAGACATGGTATATTTCTCCATCTGTTTATGTCATCTTTGACCTCTTTCATCAGTGTTTTATAGTTTTCTGAGTACAAGTCTTTTGCCTCCTTAGGCAGGTTTATTCCTAGGTATTTTATTCTTTTTGTTGCAGTGGTAAATGGGAGTGTTTCCTTAATTTCTCTTTCTGATTTTTCGTTGTTGGTGTATAGGAATGCCAGAGATTTCTGTGCATTAATTTTGTATCCTGCAACCTTACCAAATCCACTGATTAGTTCTAGTAGTTTTCTGGTGGCATCTTTAGGATTTTCTATGTATAGTATCATGTCATCGACAAATAGTGACAGTTTTACTTGTTCTTTTCCAATTTGTATTCCTTTTATTTCCTTTTCTTCTCTGATTGCTGTGTCTAGGACTTCCAAAACTATGTTGAATAAGAGTGGTGAGAGTGGAAATCCTTGTCTTTTTCCTGATCCTAGTGGAAATGCTTTCAGCTTTTCACCATTGAATATGATGCTTGCTGTGGGTTTGTCATATATGGCCTTTATTATGTTGAGGTAGGTTCCCTCTATGCCCATTTTCTGGAGAGTTTTTATCATAAATAGGTATTGAATTTTGTCAAAAGATTTTTCTGCATCTATTGAGATGATCATATGGTTTTTATTCCTTAATTTGTTAATGTGGTGTAGCACATTGATTGGTTTGCGTATATTGAAGAATCCTTGCATCCCTGGGTTAAATCCCACTTGATCATGGTGTATGATCCTTTTAATGTGCTGTTGGATTCTGTTTGCTAGTATTTTGTTCAGGATTTTTGCATCTATTTTCATCAGTGATATTTGTCTATAATTTTCTTTTTTTGTGATACCTTTTTTTCTGGTTTTGGTATCAGGATGATTGTGGCTTTGTAGAATGAATTTGGGAGTATTTCTCCCTCTGCAATTTTTTGGAAGAGTTTGAGAAGTATTGATGTTAGCTCTTCTCTAAATGTTTGATAGAATTCACCTGTGAAGCCATCTGGTCCTGGACTTTTGTTTGTTGGAAGAGTTTTAATTACAGTTTCAATTTCATTACTTGTGATAGGTCTGTTTATATTTTCTAATTCTTCCTGGTTCAGTCTTGTAAAATTGTGCCTTTCCAAGAATTTGTCCATTTCTTCATGGTTGTTCATTTTATTGGCATACAGTTGTTTGTGGTAGTCTTTTAAAATCCATTGTATTTCTACAGTGTCAGTTGTGATTTCTCCTCTTTCATTTCTAATCTTATTGATTTGCGTCCTCTCCTTTTTTTTCTTGGTGAGTCTGGCTCAGTGTTTATCAATTTTGTTTATCTTCTCAAAGAACCAGCTTTTAGTTTTATTGATCTTTGCTATTGTTTTCTTTGTTTCTATTTCATTTATTTCTGCTCTGATCTTGATGATTTCTTTCCTTCTACTGACTTTGGGTTTTCTTTGTTCTTCTTTCTCTAGTTTTTTTTTTTTTTTTTTGGTACACGGGCCTCTCACTGTTTTGGCCTCTCCCGTTGCAGAGCACAGGCTCTGGACGCGCAGGCTCAGCGGCCATGGCTCATGCGCCCAGCCGCTCTGTGGCATGTGGGATCTTCCTGGACCGGGACACAAACCCGTGTCCCCTGCATCGGCAGGTGGACTCTCAACCACTGCGCCACCAGGGAAGCCCTCTCTAGTTGTTTTAAGTGCAGGTTTAGATTGTTTATTTGAGATTTTTTTGTTTCTTGAGGTGAGATTGAATTGCTATAAACTTCCCTCTTAGAACTGCTTTTGCTTGGTCTCATAGGTTTTGAGTCATTGTGTTTTCATTGTCATTTGTTTCTATGTATTTTTTAAATTTCTTCTTTGATTTCTTCAGTGATCTCTTGGTTATTTAGTAGTGCACTGTTTAGCCTCCATGTATGTGTATTTTTTGCAGTTTTTTTTCCTGTAATTGATTTCCAGTCTCATAGCGTTGTGGTCAGATGCTTGATACGATTTCAATTTTCTTAAATTTTCCAAGGCTTGATTTGTGACCCAAGATGTGATCTATCCTGGAGAATGTTCCATATGCCTTTGAGAAGAAAGTGTATTCTGACACTTTTGGGTGGAATGTTCTGTAAATATCAATTAGATCTGTCTGGTCTACTGTGTCATTTAAAGCCTGTGTTTCCTTATTTATTTTCTGTTAGGATGATCTGTCCATTGGTGTAAATGGGGGGTTAAAGTCCCCTACTGTTATTGTGTTACTGTCGATTTCTCCTTTCATGGTTGTTAGCATTTGCCTTATGTATTGATGTGCTCCTATGTTGGGTGCATAAACATTTATAATTGTTATATCTTCTTCTTGGATTGATCCTTTAATCATTATGTAGTGTCCCTCCTTATCTCTTGT